TCTGCTCCTGGAGCTCGCGGGCCATGTCGGCGGCGCGCCTGAGGCCCCATCGCCACTTGGCGACCGCTTGCGCGGCGGCTCGCGCGCGGCCAACGCCCTGCACCGCGCCGTCGGCGCGGCGCCAATTGACGAACTGCTTGGCCTTGTGGGGGGCCATCTCGAAGAGCTGATCGGCCGGCGCGCCGGAGGAGAACTCCTCGCCCATCTCCTCGACGGGCTCGAAACTCTTGTTGATCGGCAGCACGATGTCGTGGAGGTTGAGGAGCTCGGAGGGAATATCGGCGAGGGCCTTGCCGACGCGCTCGGCGTTGGAGCCGAAGCTGAGGGGCTGGGCGCTCTCGAGGTCGAGCTCGAAATCCCTTCTCCTTGGCAAGATCGAGCATCTTCGACTTGGAAATCGGCGCGGGCCAGGAGAGCTTCTCGGGCGGCTTTCCGCAATTCTCAAATATGTCGCAGAGGCGGGCGTGATTCTCGCAGTGGGCCTTATAGAACAACGCCACCGCCAGCTCGACGCGTTTCTTGTCCTTCTCGTTGAAGATGCGCCCGCGCTCGACGCTTTCGAAAGACGCGCCGTTGTAGACCATCTCGAGGACGGCGCGTTGGGTGCTCGCCGACCACGAGGTGCTGTCCACCTTGAGAAAGCAGGCCGTCATTATTGCTGCATTGGTTCCTTGCGCGCTCGATTGGCATTGGCGCATCTCGGCAATAGAGCTCTGGTCCGCGATGAAGGACAGCTCGTCGAGGATCTTCTCGTTCTGCTTGGCCAGGCGCTCGAGAATCTCGTTCGAACTCGGGCTCGCGACCCCATGCACGGCCGCGACAGGCTGGGTCGCCGCCTGGGCGCGATTGGCGACCTGGGACATGGCTGAGGCTCGCGGCGCATTCAGGGGCAACGACGTGGGGGGGGATCGGCATTGGGGTGGGGACATCGACCTGGAATCGGCGATGCATCGCCGATGCATCGTCGCCGATGCATCGGCGGTGGGCGCCCGATCGTGAATCTGCACGTTCCTGGGCAGGTTCGGGCTATCGAACCACACTCTCTGCGATCAATGGGCGATTGGGGATCCATGCGTACCTAAACTATGCCTAATCCCCCCATATCGTTGCCCCTGGGGGGGGGGGACCTCGGTGCCACGAAGGGGCCCGGAAGCTTGGAGTCTCGGGGACTCGGGGAAACGCGGGTCTGGGCAATTGCTGGGGGGCGCGAGGTGGAGGAGGAGGAGAAGGAGGAGGAGAAGGAGGGGCCACAAACCGTGTGAGGCATGTGCTCAACAAGTAACTCCAATGCTCTGCCTGTTCGAAAAACGCATGTAACTTCCAAGTCCAATCGGTCTTCATAGCCCTGCCACACGTTCATGGCTCGGGAAAGGCTGTGAAACAGTGGGAATCCGATGGCCCTGCCGTGCGTTCGTGGCTTGGGAAAACTGAAGTGGTGAAAGTATCATGGCCCCGCCACACGCTCGTGGTTGCGGAAGCTGATATGGTGAGACCACAATTTGCCATGCTCAGCGTTTTTGATGCCGTTGCTAGCCAACATGATATGATAGCAATTTCGATTCGCAACTTCCACCGGGGATTATCAAGTTCGGCCCCCGCGCCTTCTCCACACATCAACCCTATTGGCATGGGATAAAAAAAACAGTGGGGCAAGGGCGGGGTATGATTTATTATCGGGGGCACAGGGTTACAGGGGGCAAGGGAAAAGAGTGCCCATTTCGGGCACTCGAGGTCCCTTGTGGGACCCTGTCTCAATGGCCCCGTTGCGGCACCCTTGGCTGCCCCCCTCTAGTTGATCGCACCCACCCCCATGGATTCGCCCCCAGGATGGTAAGCAGCACAAGCACCACTAGAACCCTTTGGGAAAGGACATAAGTGAGGATTGCCAACAAAAACAATATGGATATAGGAATCTTCTCTACAAATGTACCAGACCAAACCGCCCAGGTCTGTGACCCCTCATGCGACGACGGGACCTGCGCGAGGCCATGTCTGCATCTTGTCAGTGAGGTGAGCGGACCTTTTTGTCCTCGATGACAAGAGGGCACTGGGCGGCCAGCCCCGAGGCGGAGAGGGCAGACTGGCGGCGAGCAGAGCGCAGACCGTGCCGGCGCAGCAGGAGGCGCGTCGACCGCGCAGGCCCGGCAGAGCGCAGCCACCGAGACCAACTGCGGCGCGCCAGGGGGCCCGGCGAGCGGCGCGGGCGGCAGGTGCGAAGCGGTGGGCGGGCGCGAGTTCAGACGTCGATTATATGCGGGAGGTGCGTCCCCGCGCGGCAGCCAACGAAAAGAACTGCGGCGCGCCCGGGAGCAACAGGGCATGTGTCGACCCCTGTATCCCTGGCTTCGTGGTGTTTTCGAATGGACAGAAATTTGGGACCAACCCTGGGATATGCGATGGGTCCTCGACAGACACGCGCACACGCGCACACGCGCGCAATTGCACATGCACACGTACTTGCACACGCACGCGCACACGCGCACGCGAACGAACACGCACACGCACACGCACACGCACACGCACACACACACACACATGCACACACACACACACACACACGCACGCACACACTGCGTAGCTACCCCTGGGCACTCTGAGAACATACTCTCACCGTCTGCCGATCCACCCGATGGGTCCAATTATGCGTCGCCGTGGGAAGTGGCGCAGTGCGAACGCCCGCCTCGCAGCGCGACCAGGCAGCATGCAAGGGTGTGTCCCAGCATGCTGCAGAAATCGGGGCCGTCCTTCTCCCGCCCCGAGGCCTTTGAGAAGCTTTACCCGTCGGTCGGAAGAAATGGGCAGAAACATGAAGCAGGAAGGCGGATAAAGGTGGGTCCAGGCCCTCCCAAATAATAACATAACACAGCAAAACCGGATCGGTCCTTGAAGTAGGAAGGGATCTGGGACTGCAGAAATAACTACTCTCAACGACCAACGTGTGCGGGACCGCCGCGGTGGCCCCCGGAGGTTGCTCACGCCGCGGTGGCCCCTTGAGAACCCCACGTTCCGCGAGCCTTCACAGGCTGCCGCAGGCCTGTGGCAGCCTGAAAGCGCCGGTACACGTCCCAGACCCTTTGCTCTCAACCCGGCCAGGGCCCGGAGAGGCCCCCTCGGCTACACGTAAGAGGAACCCTAGGGAAGAGGGGCCTCTGGTGCACGCGGGACTTTCGGGGGTCGCAGGGAGAACGAGACGGAGCGCGCGGGCCATCCGGGGACCTGAGTGCGCCCTCACCAAGAGTCACTCCGGCGAAAGGTCACTCGTACGCGTAGTCGACAGGCCCAGGAGGCCGCCACCCCCAGACATCCGATGCATTGTTTTTTCACTCCAGGAGGTGTTCCCCCATGTCGACGCAGGGACCGTTTTCGGGCCCCTGGACCCTAGACCACAAAAGACTCAACATGGGCTGACAAGCATACAGCCGGGGCCTTGACCTAAGGAACCCAACATAAGGAACGAGGCCCCTTTTTTCCATAAGTTAAACTTCGATGTCCGATCGAAAACATAAGGAACACCTGAGGCAAGCTGCGAAACACTTAAGGAACGCGGAGCCTCTCCCCAACGAAAAGGGTTCCTTCTTCAGGGCCCCGACTGTATACCCTGGAGAATGGTCGAGGCTGCTGGGGTCGTGGACCGCACCAAAACACGTCGTCGGATGCCCGGGTCGCCGGGCCGTGCACCTGACCGGACGCGCCAGCAGACTTCGGGTCACAGAAGCCGTGTGTGAGGGGACTCCAGGACACACACAAATCCATACACACAAATGAAATGATTCCCCATATTTTCCCATATTTGTTGGGTTTTTGTCTTTCCCCCCACTCCCAATATTTCCCATATTTTCCCGGGACTGGACGATTAATTGTGTCTGTGTGCTTTTTCCCCTCCTGAATGTGGTGACGGACCGTGCAGTGACCTCGAAATCCCAAGAGGCCCGACCGCGCGGTCAATCAACGAACGGCATTGGGAACTCGGAGGCCCTGGTCGCCCGAGACGCCCTCGGAGAACGACCCGAGTGCCAAAACCGTGCGGTGACCCCGGATCCCCACTGACTCACCACGCGGTGTGGTCACTAGTCAGTTTGAGGTTGGAACCGGCGAAAGGGAATCTGAACTGGATGGGCCCCGAGGAAGTCCAATTCGCTCGACGTCGGTGCCTGGACCCCTCCTGGTGTCCACCCGAGCAAATGTTTCACCCCAAATCCGTGTCTGACGGCTCCGGGTCTCGAACAGGGCCCCCCGAGACCCGAATACCAAAAAAGGACCTTCTGGAACCCACAACTTCGAACCTCGCCCTGCTTCCTACTGGCCGGAACCCGCGCTGGACCACCTCAGACCCCCAGCCGCCTCCAAGCAGTAGGGGGAGGAGGAGGAGGAGGAGGAGGAGGAGGAGGAGGCGGAGGCAGAGGAGGAGAGGAGGAGGAGGAGGAGGAGGAGGAGGAGGAGGAGGAGGAGGAGGTGAAGGAGGAAGAGGAGGAGGGGGAGGAGGAGGAGGGGGAGGAGGAGGGGGAGGAGGAGGAGGAGGACGCGACCCCCAGAGGTATCCTCGGCCCGAGGCCAGCGCGCACCCTCGCCGCCCGCGATCCCCCCCCCGGCGCCAGGGCCCTCCCCCCCCTCCCGGCGCCAGGGCCCTCCGCGGCGAGGGCACCGCCGAGAACCGACCGAGCCAGCAGCGAAGCCTGAGCCGACCGACGCCAACAGGCTGCAGGCAGACCCAAAGAGCAGATGCCTCAGACATGTGGCGGGTCGGGCCGGTCGCGACCGAGAACGAACTGGACGGGTCGGGGACCTTCTGCCACGGGTCAGTCCGGACCCGGGTCAGTCAGGCCCTGCACGACCCTGCAAGATCCTGCGCCATCCGGCGCTCTGGCTGACCCCCGTGGGCATGGACCCCCGCCCCTCGAGCCCCGAACGGGCCGGTTCGGCACAGGCCCCGGGGCCAGCTGGGACCGCCGCGAGCGCCGCCCGCGGCCGACCCTCGAGGGGCTGGCTGCCGAGCGCGAGGCTGTCGGGGTAGCGCATGGCCTCCTTCCGGAGTGCCCTGCACGCGTTCTCGATCTCCTCGGTGCGGGCGGCGCGGGCTCCGGCGCGCCACACAGTCGGGCCGCGTGCCCGACGGAAGCGACTGCTGCAGGAGGCACGAAGCCCCATCTTCTGGCCCCTGGGGGAAGGGGGGGCTAATTGACTACGGCGCCTTCTTTGATCGATCTCCTCCAAGATGGCCCCAAGGTGGACCCCGAGGATGCCAAGAGTGCCCCAAGAGGTGCCCGGGCGGCCCCAGGAGGCCCCCAAGAGGCCCCCGAGATGCCTCCAAGATGCCCCTAAGGGACTCCCCGCAGACACCCCAGAGGCCCGAAGAGTCTCCCCCGCAGCACCCAAGACGCTTCAAGAGGCCCCAGGGACCGCCACGGTGCTTCCAAGAAACCCCAAGAGGCCTGCAAGAAGCTCCCAGAAGACATCCGAAGAAACTCCGAGAGGCATCCAGGAGTCCTCTGGCCTTTCTGCTCGCCCTCCTCCTTCCCCTCCTCCTCCTCCTCCTCCTCCTCATCCTCTTCCTCATCCACCTTATCCTCCCCCTCCCTCCCCCTTCCTCCCTCCTCCCTCCTCCCCCTCCTCCTCCCCCTCCCCCTGGTCCTCCCCCTCGTCTTCTGGTCCTCCATCCTCCTCCTCTTGGAGTATGAGGGCTTCCCAGCCTTTCTTCAACTGCGTGCTCCGCCACACGCTTGATCAAAGCAACCCGCCTGGGCATCGTTTCTGGACGGACCGGTGGGGTTACGCGGAACGTCTCGGATGTCCATTTCCGCGCCCTCGCGATCCGAACTCCGGGGCGCCATCCCGCGGATGCGCGATTCCTCGGACACGCCCCGCGCGGGGCGTCCGCGAGCAAAAACGCCCCGTACCGGCACGGCCGCGCGGCCCAGGGGCCCGCCACGCGAGGCCGCGGATGCCGACACGTTTGATTCGTCCACAAGTGAGCGACTGCGTCTCCGACGAGGTTACCAAGTCCAGGGGCGAGCCGCGGGGCGGTCGCGCGGACGCGCCGGCCGCGGGGGTGCCGCGCGCGCTGCGCGTTCGACCGTCGCGTGTCCGCGCTGCCGCGAACGTCGGCGGGCATGTCTTCCTACAGGCGGATTTTGGACGAAACTTAAAAACACACTCAGGAAATACACAAAACAAAGCCTGAACAGAACCTCGAAACATTATCCCAATACTATAGTTGGATCATTCTTGAAGATTCCTCCTGTAAAGGGACGGGCCCGACCTAAAACTTCGTTCCTCCCGCTGCGCGCTGCACTCCTGGAAAGTGACGGCCGCGGCGGGCGCAAGCCTGGATGATGACGGCCGCGGCGCCCCTTCGAGAACCGAAAACGGACAACTCGCGAATCGACGCGTCGGGGTGGGGGCTCTGTCCACCCCCGAGCTTCGTCCCCCCCCGCTGCGCGCTGCACGCAAAAACGCATAGGCCTAGGACGGGCATGTCCTCCTACAGACGGATTATGGACGAAAAATACAAACATCACAAAACAGATTCCCAAATCGCCAAAAAATGTAAAAAATCGCCCCCGTCTTGTTTTCTAAACTAGTTTTAGATCTTCCTCCTGTAAAAGGACATGCCCGGCTTAAGCATAGGTTGCTGGGAGAGGAGGCGCCCCCCTCTCGCCACGGCCGCCACGGGCTGGACCCTCGCATCGGAAGGGAAGCCTCGTCAGAACGCGCTCCAGGATCGGGGAGACGTAAGACTTTGATAAGGGGCACTCGGGTCGTCCTGAGGTGGCCATCGTGAAAATGACGAGACCCAATCTGACATTCGACGCGAGCGCCCGCTGCAGACATCCCAAGAAAACTGGACCGTCAAAATCCAGGACGCGCTCGCAAACAAAAAAACGGTAAACCCGAGTTCGGGCTTACTCGAGTCTTACGTTCCCCTGACTGGAGATGTCAAGTTTCGATGAAAGGGTTTTGGTAGCAACAACCTAAGGGGGGAGATCAGAATTGTTCCGTTCAATTCAGTTCAGATCAGCTTGCGCGCCGGCTCCAGGAGGAGCGGTCCTATGAAAGGCAGGCGGTACTCAAGACGTGAAAGTACATGCGCTGCGCCGGCTCACAACACTGCGTGCGTTGCTACAAACGATGCGCCCCATACTCTGCAATGACATCTACTCTGCGTGAACTGCAACAATATCGCTCCAACGAAGATGAGGCCGGCCAGGACGCCGGCCGGCCCAGAGGAAGTCAGAGTTGGAGGGCGAGAAAAACAAAGAGAGAGAGAGAGAGAGGGAGAGCAGCACAAACAGTCGTGCACGTCCGAGGTGCCTTGGCAAACATGGGGCGGCACGATCACACACACGACCGGTCGCCGGCCCCATGGGCAGGACAAGCTTAAGTATCTGGCCATGCATACCTCACTCGCCAAAGGGGTGGAGGAGGTGAGTTAAAAGGGGATATGTCGACCCATATCTCAGGCTTCGCGGGGTTTTGGGCCAACCCTGGAATATACGATGGGGGGCGTCCATCCTCGCTAGGGGTGCGTCCGGATAGCCTCCTTGAGAGGTGCATCCCAGGGTTTCCCTTATTCTCTGAGCGGCTTCGCTCTTCGTCGAGAAATCGGGTGCTGGGGGAGAAGCATCGCCTGCGCGGAGTAATCTCGTCATCGCTCGGAAGCCCACTCCATGTGCAGTGTTTGATTTCGTGCGTGTTTTTTGTTCGCAAGGTGACCAACAATGATCCTCGATGGTCGCTGCCGAGAACAAATGCACACGTCCGAGCGATGCCAAGCAATTCGCCGTGGGCGGGGAACACGCATCCGTATCCGCGGCCTCGCGGTCTGGACTCCTCAAAGGAGGATCTGGTACGGATGCCCGCGCGCCGGACGCATCTACGGGATATCGCCCCTCGGCATCCAGACCGCAAGCGCAAGGGCCACGACTATGGGGGCGTTCTTCTTTCGTCACGCAAGTAAGGGAGGGGAGGTGCACGCTAATGCTCGCAGCGCTGTCCCAGCGAGCGTTGCGCGTGGGAGCGCCGCGCGAGACCAGCGCGAAGCTCGCGAGGGAATGTGATTCGGATCGGACGTGGCTGTTTCGAGGCCCTGCTGAAATAAGACAAGCCAATAGAGCCAGAGACTGCACCGCGCTTCTGCACTTTTATAAAACTCGGGCAACTTGAAAACCTCCAAGTGGCATAACACACAATTGAGTGCGGCCCAACCCCCACTTCGAAACTCCATCTTGATACACTGAGCGCAGACCACCGCTTTCCATAAACGTTTCCCAAAACTCATCTGGCCATGCCTAGGAGAGTTGCTTGCTTTCCGAAGTCGGGCTCGGCGTCGACAAAACTGCGCGCTTTTGGAAGTCGAGCTCGACATTTCAAGACGGTCGCAGCAATCTTGGTCGACTCAACTCATGAGAAGATGCCACTTATATAGTCAGGCAACCTCCTGACGCCCACGTGAAGAGGAGGAAAACGAGGACGGAAGCGAGACCGGAGGCCTCCCGAATGGGGTCGGGTGAATGGGGTGGAGGATAGCACCGCATCACTGACACATGGGCGATGCATCGGCGACGCCGGCGATGCATTGGCGTCGTTGTCGTGGGATAAGCCGCATCGCTGATGCATCGGCGATCGGGCGCGATCATCTGATCCTATATGCTCGAAACCTACGCTGGGAAGTCTGGAGAGACGGATGGAGGAGAAGGAGGAAAGAGGAGGGAGCGGGAAGGAGGAGGAGGAGGAGGAGGAGGCACGCAAGGTGGGGGGAGGGGCATTTCCCAAAAAACGACCCCCTGTGACTGCGCGCGCTGGAGAGCATCTCCACCTCGTGCCACCCCCTCTTCTGCCCAGATTCTGCGCTCCTCCTCGCCAGTCAGGAACATCAAGACGTCCCCTGGGGGCTCCGAGTTGTGGATCTGCACCACCGTCCTACGCTTGAGGGGAAGGTGATGGAAGGAGACATGCGAGATGGCGGCGCCCATCCGGGGTGACGCGCGCGAGAGCGGAGGCCGTCTCATACGGTGGCCGAGGTTCCGAGAAAGCGCATAGGGTTTGTTTTAGAAGCCCGTCTGGCTTGCAAGACGTCGTCTGAAAGCATTGAGGGCCTAAGAATGCCCCCGCCTTCTCAAAGCCTCTCCGCCTCTGAAATAAGCCTCCCACTCGGGCCTCCCCATTCTTGGCCCCGCCATGTGAGGAAGCAGCTCCTGGGAGGTCTTCGTGGGAACAGTTGAAGACTTCTCAGCTCGATCGAAGAATTACTAGGCACATGCAATCCGTATTCAGCCAGTGGCTAAGCTGGTTACGTTGGACCAGGATTCAGGATGGATGTCGACAAAGCAGTTAGCAGGATCAATGCTGAGCTTAATATCCCAGGAAATGCGTCCGAAGGGTCAGATACATGGAGCCACGGTGATGCGTCGGAACGGGAGGAATGACAAAGCGTAGCGCGACTGGGCACGTTTTGGAGACGACGGACAGTCTCGCACCGAGCGGTGTACTTAACCCAAGTCGAACAGTCCTCTACGAGGCGGCTGTAGGCACCGATTCGGTGGTAACTCACGGGAGCCTTCCATACCATCTTGTCGGCTCTTGCGAATCAACGCTAGTCGACGCTATATCGACGCTATCCGACGCTTAAGAAACGCAAATCGACGTTCACGCGAATCGATGCTCTGAAATGGATACACCAGGCTCCCATCACTTGCTTCCGGACACCGATCCACGAGTCCGACAGAGTCCTCGCTGGCAGCCAGGCTTCCCTCAGCACGCGGCCGAACACATCAGGTTGACGAGCCTGCGGAGAGCACGCCACGAGGAGGCGCAGCGGGACCATGTGCTCAAGCAGAGGGTTGGGCCTGACAGCAACACAACAAGTCTAACCCAGCCCGTCGGACCCAGAGGACCCGCCCGTCTCCTCCCCCCGAGCATGGACCTTCGCAGGGCCACGCTCCTCCACACAGTCGGTCCGCGTCATAAGGATGTGCCGAACAGGATGCAAGGGCCAATGACGCTCATTTCGAAGCTTCGAGCGGCAAGGATGGGCCGAGGAGGCACGGATGCAAGGGTACCCTTGGGAATGTTGCCCTTCCTCACAATTCGGGTCGACTGTACCGAAAGCCATGAGAGGAGGAGGAGGAGGAGGAGGAGGAGGAGGAGGAGGAGGAAGAGAAGGAGGAGGAGGAGGAGGTATGAGGAAAAAAGGAGGACGAGGAGGGAGGAGGGGGACGAGGAGGAGGAGGAGGAGGAGGACGAGGAGGGAGGGTGAGGGGGAGATGATGAAGATAAGGATGCATATGACACATATTAATAATAGGATGATGATGCTGATGCTGATGCTGATGCTGATGATGATGGTGATGATGATGATGATGATGCTGATGATGATAATGATGATGATGATGATGATGATGATGATGATGATGATGATGATGATGATGATGAGGATGAGGATGAGGATGATGACGATGATGATGATGATGATGATGACGAGGAGGAGGAGGAGGAGGAGGCGTGAGAATGAGAAGGGGGACGAGGAAAAGGAGGCTGGGAAAGAGGCACGGCGGCGGAGGATCGGGGTCGGGCCGAAACTCGAACTACATCGAACATACCACACTGCTAACACGGAAATCAACACTGAGCGACCTACCGTGCGAGCATCCTACGATGAACATTCGGAAGACGGCCCCTCTAGGATTGGGAGCCGCGAGTCGTCCTCGCTCGACCTCGGCTGCACAGTGCGCGCGAGAACCGAAAGTCACGATTAACGTGCGGAGGAAGCCACAAGTTGGGCAGATTGGGACCTCTCGAGGTCCACGAGGCCCAAGGGAATCTCCCAGGACCACAGCCCGCTGGTGGCCAGCCGCGAGGGGAAGGAGGAGGACGACGAGGCGGGAGTGAAGGACAGCTCAAGCGGGAGGCCGCCGCCAGGCTGCGAGGGCTCCGCAAGCGCGCAGGGGCCGCATCTCCGTCGAGCTCTTCAGCTCGCACCCCCGTGGTCTCGAAGATGGCGCAGCTGGCCCACGATCCCCCGTGCACTCCACGCGGTGCGCCGACCCGACACCGTGGTACACGCCTTACTGACGAGGGGTGCCCCCTCCACCACCGACGGCCCCCTGGAAACCCCATAGATCGTGAAGGCCTTGGGGAAACGCCGCCAAACCAAGCCCACCCTCCTGTGAGGGTGGCCGAAAAAGGAGGAAATGGGCCTCCAACTGTTGAGCAGGGACCGACCGTCTCGACATGCCTATAGCCCTACCATGAAATATTCTTAGGACGCAAACATGTTCTAAGAACAAACACAGTGTTCTTAGAACATAAACCCGATGTGTTAAAACAAAACAGACTTCGACAGAAAGGTTCTAAGAACATTTCGTGGACACCTCAAAAGGTTCTTAGAGCATTGTTTGGTAGGGCTATAGGCGAGCCCAGGACGCCTCGCCACTGCTTGAAACTGGGGGGCGACCCAAACCTTCGAATTCCCCACAAGTGCCCCCGGCTCCCCACAAATGCCCCGCGGTTCTCTGGGCATAACTCCGCTCTCCAGCGGCCGTTCGGAGTGATCTGCCCCCCCCCCCCGGGCGCTCTCGGCGAGGCGAAGCTGCTGGAGAGCACCCCGAGGCTGGAAGACCTCCAGAGCCGAGGAACGTGTCCGAAAACCTCGAACTTCGATTCCGAGAAAGTCGTTCCCCCCCCCTGAGCCTACCCCTGATCCATGTGGTGGCGGCCCAGACCTTCGAACTCCCCACAGATGGAAGCAACGGGCACGACGGGCGCCGCCGCTTAGCCCCGCTCGGGTTTCGCCATCGCCGCCGCCGCCGCCGCCGTCGTCCTCGTCCTCGTCGTCGCCGCCGCCGCCGCCGTCGTCGCCGCTACTGCCGTCATCGCCGCCGCCTCGGTCGTCGCCCTCGATCGTCGTCGCTCTTGTAGTCACGCCCACATCGTCGCAGTCGTCGCCGCTGCCATCGTCGCCACAGTTGCCGCCGTCGTCGTCGTTGTCGTCGTCGTCCTTGCCGCACCCACCCTTCGAGGAGGCTGCAGGCCCGAGAGGGCGCGCCCTCGTCCTGATCGCCGCCTCCAGGTAGTCCCGCTCGGGCTCCGCGGTGTAGAAGATCTCGACCTGGGCGGCGGCGGCATCCCCTCGGGGAGCGGCGCGGGGCCACCCTTGGGACAGCGGCTGGCGGAACCGAAGACGGCGTGGGCAGCAACTTTCGGAGGTCCGCACGGAGTGCTTCAATCGCCGCCGGGGCCCTCTCCCTGGCGCGCGGAGGGCACCGCGGCTCCAGCGCCGACCCAAGAAACCCGCGCGGGACTCAAACAAATTACCCTTATGCAGGGGAGCAGGAGGAGGAAAGGGAGGAGGAGGAGGAGGAGGAGGAGGAGGAGGAGGAGGCGGAGGAGTAGGCGGAGGAGGAGGAGGAGGAGGAGGAGGAGGAGGAGGAGGAGGAGGAGGAGGAGGGAGTAGGAGAGGGGGGAGAATCACGACGACGACTGTGACGACGACGACGACGACGACGACGACGACGACGGCGGTGGCGGCGGCGGCGACGGCGTCGTTAACGTTTTGGACGTCCAGTGGCCTCGAGAGCATCCAGAGACGATGGGATGAGGCCTGGGGGAGTCTCCGAGGAGGGAGACTCGAGACAACGGCAGCTCAAAATCGTTTCCCCGACCCCTCCTGGGGTCCAAACGCTCGAGTTGTCGAATTCTCGGAGCTGCGTCCAACCGTGTCGACGAGGGCCCTCCACGAAGGCCAGACCGCTGTCTCAACTGGCCCCCCGCTGACAGCAGGGGGCAACTTCAGCTTCGGCCCGCGCGCAACCTTAACGCGGGATCGGACCCCACAGAAAAGCTCCTGCGGCAGCTGCTCCGCAACAACTTCTGCGGGGCCCCAGAATCGTGCGGTGACGGACCGCGTGTTGACCTCGAAATCCCCAACGACCTCACGGCGCGGTCCGTCACCACGCAGCTCCGGGACCCTGGAGGCCCCAGTCGTCCCTAGGCAACCTCGGAGATCGACCCGACTCCCAACACCGCGCGGTGACCCCGAACGATTGGGAATAGAAGGGTCCCTCATCCTTTGGGGTTAGACCTAAGTTAAGAGGCCCAAAGCATTAGGGACAGGAGGTCACATCTGCAGATGTATCAAATCAAACCGACCAGACCTATGTCCCTAGTGCAAAAACGGGGGCCTAAATTCGGCTACGTCTTCATTGCGTCATGAGGATTAGGGTTCTGCATCCCCGAATCCCCATAGACTCCCCACGCGGTGTGGTCACCACACCGCTGCAGGGCCTCCGAGCGCAGGTGAGGAGAGCAAAACAGTCTGCATAACGGTCCACTTTCGGAGATCCGCGCGGTTTCTGGGTCGGCGCACATGGAGGCACCTCCGGCGCGGACCCTAGCTCGTTTCGCGAACCAGTTTTCCCCTCATCCTCCTCCACCTCCTCCAGTTATCCTCTGTTCCTCCTCCTCCTCCTCCCTCTCACATCCTGCTCCTCCTCTTCCTCCTTTCCCTCCTCCTCCTCCTCCGCCTCCTCCTCTTCCCCTCTCCCTCCTCCTCCTCCTCCTCCTCCCTCCTCCTCCTCCTCCTCCTCTTCCTCCTCCTCCTCCTCTATGATCTACCCCCCTCCTCCTCTCCTCCTCATCCTTTCCCTCCTCCTCCTCCTCCTCCTTCCCGTTGTGTACGAATAGTCACAGATTGAAAGGTGCTGCGAGCCGGTATCTATTGCAATAGGTGCGGTGCTCATGTCACCGTTGCTGCCCAGGGTCTTGGCCAACCGTGCACGGCCACTGATCTGCCTCCTACTAAGGCGGGGGGGGGCACGTGTCGTCTCGATTGTCTCGAGGATTGCCTTGGGCCCAAACGAGGTGGATGTTTCCCCAGATGCGAACTGCTTTTCGTGCCCAGGCCCGACCTGGTCTCCACGGGCTCTTCAATATGCATCCCTCCTCCCACCTCTATCCTCTCTCTCGAGGATCAGCACCGAATGAACCTCGAGAGAATCTGGCAAGAAGGGGGGATAAAACCAAGTCGGTTCAAAATCAATCCCCGCACCCCTCCCGGGTTCCATCTGGTGCAATTTTCTAGCGCAAATATATGTTTTTAATGGTCACGGAACCCGAAAACGGCGACTGGAGACCGACGGTGGCAACTTTATCCGGGTGACGGACCCAAGCATATACGAGCCGGAATACATTCGGACTCGATTGGAGAGGACACGCGAGAGGACGTAAGACCTTCCGAAGGCCACATTGCCACAGGAATGTCGGAGGCATGGGTCGCGAGACACAGGACACAAGGTTACCCTTGAGCTGGCAGGGTCGACCTACTAATCTGGGCAGCCTGTACCGCAAGGCAGGTGGGACGAAGGAAGTGAGCGTCCCTGTGGGCCAACAGGCGTGCGAGGAGTGTGCTGGCATGGGGAGGTGCCGCCATGCGGGCGCCGGTCCTGGCGCGGTCGGTGGAGCTCTCTGTGGCCTGCGGGGGCACGCAGCGTGTGAGCGGTTCGCCGACGTGAAGCGCCGACGCCACGCGGACCCTGGCACTCGGGCCTTCGGTAGAGCTCCCCATGGGCCGGACGGAGCGTTCATAATGTGTGCCGAAGGCGACGCCATGCGGATCCTGGCATTTGGGCCTTGCCTGGAGCTCCCTATGTGGCCACGACGCGTGTGAGGGGCGTGTTGAAATGAGGCGGCGACGCCCTGCGGACCCTGGCATTTGGGCCTCAGTGGGAGCTCCCTATGGGGCCACGACGCGTGTGAGGGGCGTGTTGAAATGAGGCGGCGACGCCCTGCGGACCCTGGCAGTTGGGCTTGAGCCTGAGCTCCCTATGGGGCCACTAAACGTGTGAGATCTGTGCCGAAATGAGGCGGCGAGGGGCCTGGCAGTTGGGCCCCCTATGGGGCCACGACGCGTGTGATGGGTGTGCCGAAATGGAGCAGCCAAGCCATGCGAGCCCTGGCATCTGGGCCTGAGCGGGAGCTCCCCATGGGGCCACGGAACGTGCGATGGATGTCGAAATGAGGTGGCGTCGCCCTGCGGGCCCTGGCATTTGGGCCTCAGTTCGAGCTCAATGTGGGGCCACGAAGCGTGCGAGGGGCGTGTTGAAATGAGGCGACGACGCCCTGCGAACCCTGGCAGTTTGGCCTTAGCTGGAGCTCCCTCTGGGACCTCGAAACGTGGGAGGGGCGTGCCTACATGAATTGGCGACGCCATGCGGACCCTGGCATTTGGGCCTCAGTCGGGATCCTTTTTGGGGCCGCGAAATATGTGAGGGAACGACTGCGAGGACATGCGGAGGGCACTGGCAGGGATGGGAGGAGGGAGGGTGGGATGGGGTGCGGATGGCTCAAGCCGTGATGGCTGAATCAATGGCCCAATCATGTTGTTCAGGAGCCGGCTTCGCAGCCATACGCTCTAGGCCGGTGCCGAAGCTGGGCACACAGAGCTACAGACAAGAATACATACAGTCCGGCGCAGAACGTTGGGGTGCTTGATTGCGAAGGCGACGATAAAGAAACAACAGCAACACATTTGGTCACGTCTACATCACGTTCGCGTCGTAGCGTGATTCCGTTCCTCATCACAGAAGGGAGGAAGGGAGGGGAGGAGGCAGAGGTGGGAGACGCGAGGAGGACACGGGCAGGGATGGGAGGGGGGAGAGAGGAAGGAGACGCGGGGAGATCTCTCTTCACAACGACGGCCCAACCTTCCCGAAGCCACAGCCTCCAGCCTGCCCTCCATCCTGCCGGCAAGACCCAGTGCTGGGCCACCTCAGACCCACAGCCTGCTCCAACCTCCACCCTCCTCCGCCGCCGCCTCCTTCCCCCCCTCCATCCTCCATCCTCCTCCTCCTCCTCATCTTCCTCCTCCTCCTCCTCCTCCTCCTCCTCCTCCTCCTCCTCCTCTCCTTCCCTCCCTCCTCCTCCTCCTCCTCCTCCTCCTTCTCCTCCCCCTCCTCCTCCTTCTCCTCCCCCTCCTCCCCCTTCCCCTCCTACTCCCCCTCTTCCCCTCCTCCTCCTCCTCCTCCTCCTCTCCTCCTCCTCCTCCTCCTCTCCTCTCCTCCTCCTCCTCCTCCTCCTCCTCCTCCTCCCGTTCCCTCCTCCTCCTCCTCCTCCTTCTCCTCCCCCTCCTCCCCCTTCTCCTCCCGCTCCTCCCCCTTCCCCTCCTACTCCCCCTCCTCCCCCTCCTCCTCCTCCTCCTCCTCCTCTCCTCCTTCTCCTTCTCCTCCTCCTCCTCCTTCTCCTCCTCCTCCTTCTCCTACTCCCCCTCTTCCCCCATCCCCTCCTTCTCTCCCTCCGCCTGCCCCCTCCTCTCTCTCCCCTTCCTCCTCGCCCTCCTCCTCCTCCTCCTCCTTCCTCCCCCTCTTCTCCCTTCTCCTCCTCCTCTCCTCTCCTCCTCCTCCTCCCTCCTCCTCCTCCTCCTCCTCCTCTTCCTCCTCCTCCTCCTCCTCCTCCTCCTCCTCCTCCTCCCTCCTCCTCCTCCTCCCCTTCCCTCCTCCTCCTCCTCCTCCTCCTCCTCCCTCCTCCCCTTCCCTCCTGCCGCTCCCCCTCCCTCCCTTCTCCCGTCGCGACCGGGTGCGTGCGGCCAGGGATGTTGAGCAGCGGCGCGCCGTCAAAACCCGCCAGCCCCCCTGCCGAGGAGCCCCTGTGTGGGCGGCGCGGGGCGCCACGGCCGCTCGGCTTATCGACGAGAAGGCCCAGGCAAACATGCTCGGTGAGGCTGAAGGGGCGATGGGACAAACACAAATAAATAGACACAAATCCCAGGATTTCCAATATCTTCTCATATTTTCTGGATTTCCGTTTCCCACCCACTTCCCATATTTTTCTTTATATTCCTTGGGACCGACGATTGATTGTGTCTGTGTTTTTTCCCCTCCTGAAGAGGCTCCAGGCTGCGCACAGACGGCACCCTGACCGTGCAGAATGCTGAAAAAGTACACACTCCAGACCTATAGACCTATCCAGACTGCCTTGTCAAACCTCGACTGGAATCTAGGTACCAAGGTCCTGGTGCTGTTCCTTAGCCCTTCTGGGAGGGCAGGGCCGCCACGCAGGTAGTCCTGGCTGGCCTTAGCAGGCCTCCCGAAGAGTCCCATGCAGCTGGCCTCACGGGCCCCCCGAGTGGTCCGGGCCAACAAATGCATTGGACGGTTTTGGGTCTGATTTCAAAGTCCCAAGAATTGCATCCTAAAACATGCTCGCGTCGTGGGAGCCCCAAAAAACGACTGACGATGATTTGTAAATTTCGGCCTCTGGGGGCCGTCGATGGGTCTCGCGACAGTCAGAAAACGACTCGGGATCAAACAGTGGCCCTGGGGAAAGAGCCTGGACGTTCAGGGACCACGTATGGAAATGATCCTGGCGAAGGGCCCAACAACCATATGCAACTGTGAGCATCGCGGCTGTATCGTCTTCGGTAGAACTCCCTGTGGAGCCACGAAACGGGTGGGAGGTGTGCTGGAAAAGGTTCGGAGGTGCTATGTGGACGCTGCCACTGGGCCCTTCGGTGGAGCTCCCCATGGAGCCACGAAACGTGTGAATGGTGTGCCGAAATTGGTTCGGAACAGCCTTTTCGAGCGCTGCCACTGGGGCCTTCGGTGGAGCTCCCTGTGGGCCACGAAACGTGTGAGGGGTGTTCAGACACGAGAGCGGCGCTGCCATGCGAACTCCCTCTTGGGCCACGAAACGAGGTGCCATGCGAGGTGTGCCGAGATTGGTGCGGGCGCTGCCACTGGGGCCTTAGGTGGAGCTCCCTATGATGGGCCCACGACGCCGTGAGGGGTGTGCTGAAGCGGAGGCGGCACTGCCACGCGGGCGCTGCCACTGGGGCAATAGGCGGAACGCCCTATGGGGCCACGAACCGTGTGAGGAGTGCGCCGAAACTGTCGTGCGGATGGCAGAAGGAAGATCAAGGGGCCCATGAACATACACATAAATGTACACAAATAAAAGGATTCCCCATATCTTTCCCATATTTTTGGGGTTTTTGTCTTCCCGCACAATTCCCATATTGTCGAATATGTTCTTGGGAATCGGCGATTACTTGTGTCTGTGTGTGTAATTTCCCCTCCTGAGAGGAGGAGGGGGAGGACAGGAAAGGAGAGGAGGAGAGGACGCGCGGCGCTGTCACCTCGAAGCGAGGGCTCAACACCACAGGATGGCTGGGAACAGGCGAGGCATCGCACGTCTTGGAGCGGAGAGGGGAGGAGATGACCGAGGCGCACGGAAAGCAAACAGCGACTCAACACATTGAGGGAGCGCGTTTCAATGTCGCTCCCCTCGGAAAATTATCCCGAAAGGGGGTCGCCGAAACTGAAGGACACCCCCTTCCTACACAACAACCAGATCCAGAGTTCCCCTCCAAAACCTGGGCCGCTCACCGACCCACGCGCGGTGGCGGGGGTGGACCGAAGGCTCTTAGATTTCACGACGCGTCCAGGACATCGGAATCCCCTAGCTCCTAAGCTCGCGCAGCGCTGTAAGATCGTCGTAATTAGCCTTGTGTCCGTCACGGTGCCCGGATGCAAGACATGGACGGGCATTTCGGACGACGGCCCTATAAAGTGTCGGGGACCTACTGACCCAGGTCAATCCAGAGCCGGGTCAGTCAAGCCTTGCGGGATCCTGGAAGATCCTGCAGGATCCTGCACGTTAGCCCGGATTTTTCCACCCCTGGCCCGACAAGGTCCTGCAAGATCCAGCGCCCTGGCCCATCCTATCGTCTTCCGAACGGAATCCATGCTGCGACGTTGCCGCCATGACACGAGGGACGAGGAGGGTCCCCAGGGACTCCCAGCACTCTCCCGAAGAGGGCCCCGGGACGGCCAGGCGCCCCAAGACTCCCAGGCCGGCCTGAAGGCGGTCCAAGAGTTGGGGTGCGCAAACATGGATTAGCGATCCATGGATTTGGCGCACGGTCGCCAAGTCCATGGATCGGGGGAGGTGCCCTCCCCAAAATGCGGCTGGTGGCGCCTCGTTCGGCGGCGGCAGTCAGTTGTTTCCTATGGAAACAGGACCCGTCGCTAATCAACGCCCCCTCAATCCATGATTGCGATCGCCTGAAAGGCTCCCAAGACGCCCCGAGAGGGCTCCAAGACGACGACCCCCAAGATGGCCCCAGTAGGCCCAAATCTTTTATCTTCGCATGATGTCTTCACGATGTTGGCGGCGTTCTCGCCGTTTCATGCGCCCGACCCTCCGAGACGGCCCAAAGAGCCCCCTCCAATACGGCCCACGATGGCCCACGAGGCCCGCAGGAGTGCCCCAAGACGGCCCAAGAATGTCCCGAGACTCCCGAACTGACATTTCGAGCCTTTCCCCCGAAAGTTGGCCACCGAGACTTCCAGCAGGCTCCCAAGAGGCCCCCTCTGGCCCCCAAGCGCCCTCGGGAGGCCCCAAGAGACCAGGAGGCTCCTGAGAGGCCCTGCCCCGCGATGTGCGTCCAATGATGCCCCCCCGACAAGCTTCTGCCGAGGCTCTGAGAAGCATCTGCGAGGCCTCCTGCCGACGACCCAGGCACGGTGGCGGCATGGGCCGAAGGCCACCGCATTGGAGACAAGGGGTGGGGAGACCAAAAGGTACCGACACCGCTACTCCCAGGACCTCTCCCGGGGCGCGTTCTGACCAGAATTTCAAGGCGAATCCGACGGTGGTGGCGACGAGGGCCTCCGAGGAGACCCAACGAAAGGGAAGACGAGGAAAAGGCAGAGGTTTGAGCAGGCACCGACCGTCCCGGCATTTCTTTAGGCGCACCCCGACATGTTCTTAGAACGCAGAAATGTTCGAAGAACAGAACAATGTTCTTAGAATATGCACCCGGCGTGTTAAAACAAGACAGCGCCAGCCACAATTGTTCTAAGAACATTTCGTGGACACTACAAAAGGTTATGAGAACATTGTTTGGTAGGCCTATGGGCACGCCAGGACGCTTCGCCACTGCTTCACCTTTTCCTCCCCTGAAGGGGGGCCAGACCGGCACGCACCCGAGGCGCCTCGCGGGGGAGCACGGCCTCGCTCTCGCTTCGCGCCGGGCGCCCGGGCGCGGCGACGCAGGGCGCGAGTTCGCCGATGGTCGGCACGTGGTCGTTCCGATATCTTCCCGTGGGTGACCAGCGGTGGTCCCGTAGCTGCCGCGCGGCTGCAAAGTGGTGGATTCGCGTTTGTTCATAGCTTGTCCCGTGGTTGTCCCGCGGTTGTCCCGTGGTTGTCCAATTATTGTCCCGTGGTCGTCCCGACGTTGTTCCGTGGTTGTTCATTGGTGGTCCCGTGGCTATCCCGTGGCTGTCCCGTGGCTGTTCAATGTTCGTTTCCTTCTGATCCTGCAATTGTCCCGTCGTTGTTGCGTGGTTGCCCCAGCGTTGTCCTGTGGTTGTCCCGTGGGTGTCCTGTGGTTTCCCCGTGGTTGCCCGGATGAATGTTCTGTGGCTGTGCCCCGTTCTTACCTAATGGTAGTCACCTATTGGGGATCCCAAAACCGCGTGGTGGCAGACCGTGCAGTGACCTTGGAACCGTAAGAGACCTCACCGCACGGTCCGTCACCGCACGGTCGTGGGACCCTGGAGGCCCCTGTCGTCCGAGACATCCTCAGAGAGGGACTCGAGTCCCGAAACCGTGCGGTGACCCCGAATCCCCACCGACACACCACGGTGTGGTCACCACACCGTCTGGCCTCCGAACCTACCTGCCCCTGTGGTTGTCGATCTGGGACCGGCAAGTACTGTTAGCAATACGATTCTAGTGAGAAGACTAGATGTATTGAAAGTGAGATCGATAGCTGGATATCGAGACCGATAGATAGTCTGACCGGTAGAGATGTTGAAAATGGTACCAATGGTTCAAGAGACCGATCTGTAGTGAGGCCGATCGGTAGACAGTGAGATCGACAAGTAGATAACGAAATCGATAGATAAATGGATGGATAGCGAATCCGATGAGCCGATCGCAAACCGAAAACTGCAACCATCCCGCCCAGTCGCACTATCACCTCAAGATCTTTCGGCGGCGCGCCCAGGGGGGAAGCGAGAGGGAGAGGGCCTTCTCAGAAGGCGGCGGGGCTTCCCGTAGGCCCTCGCGCCTCCTGCGAGGCCTCCTGTGACCTCGGGGAAGGCTCAGAACACCGCTCACAAGGCCCGATGCCCCCCGAGCCTCCCGAGAATGCCCGCCCCCTCTGCCAGCAGTTCTCGGGTCCTAACTCGCACCACCGGCGGCCGTTCGGGACGGTCCGGGCGCCTCCGGAGCGCCGTCGCCGAGGCGCGGCCGCTGGAGAACGCCCCGAGGCCGAGCAGCGCCCGCTGAGAGCCAGCGAGGCCCCCCAGGCTCGCCGCCGAAGCACGCCAGGGCCGACTGCTTGCCAGACCACCCCAACCCAAATGCGAAGACCCAACTCGGGTTGGGGGGGGTACCCATCGGTCGGAAGAAGCAGGTAGAAACATGAAGTAGGAAGGCGTTGGAAATAGATTGGGCTTCCGCACGCCTCCTGAAGAGGAAGGAAGTTGGAAAACCACTCGACTCTTGAAGTAGGAAGGCGCTGAAAGTAGATGGGAATCTGGGAATCCAAAAATACCTACTTTCAACGACCGATGGGTACGGGCTTCACATATGTTTGTGCGATGTTCCCCGACCGCCCCCCTTGGGAAGTGGATGGCAGATCGGGGCCTCCGGGTTGGGGTTGGGGGTGGTGTGGTGGGCGGTGAAAGGCTGCCCACACGGCCACGGCAGGAGAGCCCAAAAATCGAATCGATGGGCCGGAACTGCAATCGGAATGAATCGGATCGGCGAAAATCGGCAGCCGAGTCGGGAAAAGCCGAATCGGCGGAAATCGGCAAGCTAATAAGCCTCCCCTGCGACATCGGAACCCACATCGGAATCCCGAGCCGAATCGACTCGGAATCGGCAGCCAACGAAATCGAATCGCATCGAACCGAAGGAATCGAAACGAGCCCTGCGTTTGTCGGGAGAGGCCAAGAGGGGGGTGTCCAAGAGGGGGGGGGTGCACATCATGACCGGCGGCATGTGCGCGGCCCAGCGGGGGGACCAGGGACGTAATGGAATAAGAAGAGGCGCCATGGGAACTGGGGAAATATCATGGCCCCCGCCATGATGTCCACCCCCTCCTAGTCATCACCCCCCTCTTTACCGCCCCTGACCCCAACCCAACCCGAAGACCCGAATTTCGGCTTGGTTTGGGGTGGTGACTTCTTATGCCTAGGCCCCCATCCCTCAGGACCACACCTTTGAGTCGCAGAAGCAGCGCCTGCTCTTCTTCCATGGGTGTCATTGTGCCGCCCCCGAGCTTGGTGGGCGGCGGAAGGCCGCCCACGGGGCCACGGCACGGCCCGCCGCGCGAAACCCCCACGCAGCAGCCGCCCGGGGGCAGCCGCACGGGCCGCGGGGCGGCAGGGCCGAGCTGGCCCACGCGCCGGGAGCCCACGCCGCGGGCAGCGCTCCCGCCGCGAGGCGGTCGTCAGTGAAGGGGCCCTGGGACACACAAATAAATACACACAAAGAAAGGATCCCCATATTTCCCATATTTTCTGGGTTTCTGTCTTCCCCCCCACTTCCCATATTTCCCATATTTTCTGGGAATCGACGATTCATTGTGTCTGTGTGTGTTTTTCCCCCTCCTGAGTTAGGAAGACACTCCCGGAGGCCTCGGGCGGCAGTCTGTGTTTTCTTCGACTCCGGGGGAGGCAGAGGTGGGGGGGAACGTCGAGGGGGGGACTGGCCCACGAGGGGAGGCCTCGACGTGGGATCGGCGATGCATCGGCGATGGGCCGCCGGCGAATCCGCGCGCCGTCCCGGGCGGTAAAGTATGTTTACAGTGGGAGCTACCCAAGCCCTAACCGGCGGTACGGCTGTCACCATTTCCGGTCGCTCCTGTACACGACCCTAGAAATAAAAGAACCAAGACACGAACTCGGGCGGGCCTTCGGGCCCCCGGTCGGCGATCGATGGGCGACTGGGGGTCGATGTACCTTTCTGCGGGCAAGATTCATGTCCATATCCAGTGCCTCTTGGACTTTTTGGGAAGCGGCGCCACAAGGCCGAGGCGCACAGGATATGGATAAACATCGAGCCTCTCTAGGGGGCAAATTTATCCATATCAAGTGCGCCTCGGGTTTCTTGGGAGGGGAGCCCGAAACTCCATACTGCAGTGGATATGGACAGAAGTATTGCCCGCACCTTTCGAGGGAACTCCTGGAGGAGTCGGACGGCAACTTGGGACCCGATTTACCTCGGATCCATGTCGCATCTACGTCCGGGCGTACGTCGGAATTGCGTCGGAACTGCGTCGGCTTTCCTCCGGGCCGACGCCCGACCGTCGCCGCGCGCGCGTCGAGACCCATAGCCCACGGAGCTGGCATGTGGACCAGATCCTACGACTAGTACGCGCCGCGCGAGGCCTCCAGGAGCTTCCTCAGACCGGTCGGGCTGCTGAGATCAGGAACGAGGCCCCGGTGCGGCACCATCGAATCGACGAGTCGGATCGGCGATCGAGACGGATCGGGTGGGCTGAGAGCGGCAGCCGAGTCGGGGCACATCGAAGCGGCGGAAACTGGCAGGCGAGTGTGCCCCTCATGAGATATCGGAGCTAAAAACAGAACCCCAAGTCGAGTCGAATCGGCATTGGAGGCCATCGAAGTCGAATCGAATCGGAGGAATCGAACAAGAGCCTGCAACGGCGCCTGGGTGCCCGAGGACACGGCTGGAGCAACAACCTCGGAGCAAGACTTGGAGCCCCTTTCGAAATTCAACCGGTCCTTCTTTCCTCCTCCTCCTCCTCCTCCTCTCCCTCCTCTCCTCCTCCTCCTCCTCTTCTTCTTCTTCTTTTTTTCTTATTATTATTATTATTCGTCTTCTTCTTATTCTTACTATTATTCGTCTTCTTAGTTTGAATTATTCCCCATATCCTAAGATGGGGGTCTTGTTATTGGCAGACCGCGCCGGAGGAACACACCAGAACCAGAACCCACCTCACCACTTCAGAACACCTCACCTCACCTCCCTCACTCAGACTCACTCAGGCTCACTCAGACTCACTCATCACTCAGACTCACTCATCAGTCAGACTCACTCATCACCCAGACTCAGTCATCACTCACACTCACTCATCACTCAGTCTCACTCATCACTCAGAGTCACTCATGCTCAGTCATCACTCAGACTCACTCATCACTCAGACTCACTCATCACTCAGACTCACTCATGCTCAGTCATCACTCAGACTCAGTCATCACTCAGACTCACTCATACTACACGCAGATGTTGAGGATGTCTCAGGCGATTCGCTCGTCTCAGCACTCCTAAGGGGGGGCGGCGGGGGTAGTTTCACGGGGTCCCGTTCGCGGAATTTTGTGGGGATGTCTCAGGCGGTTTGGCCATTTTCTCTTCCAACATGTGTCGCTTTCGGAGCAGATTTGGAGGATGTCTCAGGCGATTCGCTCGTCTCAGCACTCCTAAGGGGGGCGGCGGGGGTGGTTTCACGGGGTCCCGTTCGCGGAATTTTGTGGGGATGTCTCAGGCGGTTTGGCCATTTTCTAGCCCAACATCTCTCGCTTTCGGAACAGAGTTGGAGGATGCCTCAGGCGATTCGCTGGTTTCAGCACTCCTAAGGGGAGCGGCGGGGGTGGTTTCACGGGGTCCCGTTCGCGGAATTTTGTGGGGATGTCTCAGGCGGTTTTGTCATTTTCTCCCTCAACATGTTTCGCTTTTGGAGCCCACGAACAGGAAGGGGAGGAGGAGGAAGAGGAGGAGGAGGAGGCTGGGGAGGAGGAGGACGAGGCTGAGGAGGAGGAGGACGAGGACGAGGAGGAGGAGAGGGAGGCGAGCATGAGCACGAGTAGGAGCAGGAGCAGGAAGGGGAGGATGATGATGATGAGGATGATGATGAGGAGGAATACGCGGGCAACTCGGGTGGCCAGGGCCAGACGATCGAAGTTCGAGGCTCCAGAGCTTTAGGTTTAACTCAGACGCTTCCGCTTCACGCTCCTTCACTCTCCACTCTCTTCCACTCTCCTTCACTAAGATTCACTCATGCTCAGACTCAGCCACACGCAGACTCACTCGCACCCAGACCCGCTCATAATCATACTCAAACTCACCCACACTCAGACTCGCACTCAGAATCACTCATACTCAGACTCGCTCCTGCTCAAACTCATCATCCCATGGTCCGCTCAAACGCAGACCGACTCACACTCAGACTGCCTCACATCCATACCCACTCACACTCGACTCACTCGCACTCAGACTCATTCACACTCACACTTTCTTACACTCAGGCCCACTCAAGCCCAGGCTCACTCATGCTTAGACTCATCATGCTCCGATCCGCTCAATCACAGACTGGCTCACACTCAGACTCGTTCACACTCAGACCCAACACTCAGACGCACTCGCGCTCAGATTTACTCACACGCATACCCACTCAAACTCAGGCTCGCTCCTATTCACGTCGCTATCAGACTGGCGATTGGCTCGCACTCATACTTGCAGACTGTGGGAATGTCTCGAGCGAGCGGTTGGCCCTCGCACACAGGCGATCATTGACAGATATCCATAGAAAGACATACCAAGAGAATGAGATGCACATATGGGGAGCCCCGCGTCGAGTAATTCTTCTTCTTCCTCCTCCCCCTCCTCCTCCTCCGCATCCTCCTCCTCCTCCCTCCCTCCTCCTGGACCTCCTCCTCCTCCTCCTCCTCCTCCCTCCTCCCTCCTCCCTCCTCCCTCCTCCCTCCTCCCTCCTCCCTCCTCTCTCCTCTCTCCTCTCTCCTCCCTCCTCCCTCCTCTCTCCTCCCTCCTCCCTCCTCCCTCCTCCTCCTCTTAATGGAGTGCGCACGCGCGAAGCCCCTCGGCTAACGAAACAAACCTCCTCCTCTTCCTCCTCCTCCTGCTGCACTTCCACAGGGGATAGGATCTCTTTCTCTCTCTCTCTCTCGCCCTCGCGCAGCTTCGTCTCGCCCGCACGTGCGACACGAACCGACACTGCACTGGTGGAATGCCATGTTCCCTTCGATCGCAAACCCCCCACCACCTCCGCTCACTCGCACCCGCGACACTCAGATGCTGACGAAGGATACAGTAAGGGCCCGACCACAAGAAACCTTCCACAAGAAATCCAACCCTGAACGCCCAGGATGTCGATGGATTTTTGTTATGGGAACGTCACGCTTTCCACTGAAGAACCATCGAACCCCAAGACACCCAAGGCACCCTGGAGGCAAACCGGGTGTTCCTTGGAATGGGTCCCCACTGTATGTGGAATCGTGTAGCCAGAGAGAGAGAGAGAGAGAGAACAAAAAAAAGAGAGAGCGAGCGAGATTAGAGAAGCACATGTTCGAGCGAAGTTTCCAGGTCAGAGCGCGCATCGCAAATTTAGGGAGGTGCTTTTGTGTCTGCTGCAGATGGCCCGAATTGGGGCGTGCGGCAGGTGCGCGTCTAGACCAGGGGGGGGGGGGCGCGCGAGCACCGAGGGCCGCGGACCAGGGCCTCTACCGTGAGAAGACACCACCACTGAAGCACGAGATCCGTCCTGCGGTGGCAAGTGTCGCGGTCGAGGGCGGGAGCCAGGCGAATATCCCTGCATCTTCTGTGCATCCATCGTGGCGGACATCACAACCACTTTCAAGGTTGGCCGGCGCTTCATCACCTGCAGGAGGCGGTGAGGAGGAGAGGGGGGGAATGTCGGAACGACCAGACGGCTGCTGCACATACCAAATGTCACTGCTGTACTGCTCTTCCTGAAAATACCCGCGTGACAAACGCCCCGTGCAATCCGGAGTTGCTCCGAGCAACACAGCGACTCCTTGCGGCATCGGCAGATCAATCCTAAATCCCACCTGAAAACAATGCAAGATCCGATCAGCCACTGTGTCCTGAGGCACCAGTGGGAGTGCCCTCAGGTCCTTGGCCTAACCCTTGCGCATCAGTCCTGAATCTTGAAGATGATGTAAGGAGCCCAGACCCTGAATTCACAATATCTCTTGGGCCCCGTCGCGGCTCGTCGCGTGACTTTTCCGAAGCCAAGAGGGCCCGAAGACGGGCCAACAGCGTCCCAAGAAGCCCCCAAGACGGTCCAAGACGGCCCCGAATCGCCAAACACTCGGTCCAAGACTCCCAAGATGGCCTAAATACGGCTGAAGAGGCGCCCGAGACGCCCCAAGAGAGGCCCAAGAGGCCTCACAGGAGAGCTCCAAGACGCAACAATCGTCGAATACATTCTAGGATGACTTGCACTCTTAGCATATACGACTCGTCCGCCCCAAGGCGTCCCAGACGGCCCAAGAGGCCCCAAAGGTCGCCCCAAGTCGGCCCAACAGACCCCCAAGAGGGCCCCAAGACGGCCCAAGGGGGCCACAAGACGGCCCAAGGGGGCCCCAAGACGGCCCAAGAGGGCCCCAAGACGGCCCAAGAGAGCTCTGGCCCAAACGGGGCCCAAGAGGAGGAGCCCGAACCGACAACTCGAGCTGTACGCACCAACATATCCGCAGGAAGCCCCAAGAGACCCC